AGCAAAGACCCACCGATGTGGCCATGAAAACACATTGCAAACGCAGACGACATTTTGCCATCGTCGATGAGACACTAGTGTGTGGCGAGTGGCTGTTCCTCCTAGCATCACTTTGAGAGGACTGCCTGGTGAAGGTTCCTCGAGAACATTTGAAAATCCCCACACACCGGAGAAAACCGGCTGCCAGAATTAAGACCTGGCACCTCTGAGAGGATTCTGAAACTGTTTGCCAATTGTCAGACACATCCGCAGGCCACAAATAGAACAATTAATACCCACCAAGTATCTAACCAGACCTTAGGAACGAGTGGCCATGCCTTTGTTTACATTGAATGGAAGATCTTATTTCATCATTATCGATTATTTCTCCCAGTGGACTAAGGTTAAAAAAATTGCACACTTTGACCAGGGAAACGGTGATCTCAGTCTTACACAAGGGATTTGTAACACGTGGGTGTCCCTGATGAGTTTGTTTCTGACAACAGGTCATGATTCCTGAATGAGTTCTTCAGCCAGTTCTGGATCTGAGCCTATCAATCCAGTGCCCACAATCTGATAGAATCTAATAAAACACCAAACGCAGGGTCAGAGCAATTAAGTGACTCTTGGAAAAGAATTCCAATTTCTACACAGCACCGTTGAATTAGAGATCCTCTCTATTTTATTGTAGATTCAGCAGCCTCTCAGTTACTGATGCACAGAAAGCTGCCAATTTAGCACCCTAACCTGCCAAAGAAGTTGGTTCCACACTTACACCTTCATGATGACCAAGAGATACATGACAAGGAGGAATCCCGCCTCATGTAATAGGCCACATAGTACAGTCAATGCTCTGGTGCAAGAAATTGATCAAAGTTAGGAACTGGGTGAAGGTGTGGATCAGAGATTTAAGCAGAAAAGATACAATCGCCAAAAGTGATGTGAAAAATCAGAGATTGTACATTGTCAGAACTGTTGTTGGAGCTGTACAAAGGTACTGCAGAAACCTCGCCTTATTGTGATTGTATTGTTGTTAGGTTGCTGATTAGGGTGAAGCAAATGGCATATGTGACAAAAAGAGGCAAGCCTCAGATCATCAGGAACCCAGTCCAGGACAACTACCTTCGACCCAACCAATATCTGACCTTTCAGATTGTCTGAATTTGTAAAGTCAAAGACTTGGGTTGAGGTGGGTTAGTGGTAAATGTAATTACATAAACATTTATATATAAATATCAATAATAGTTCTCAGAAAACAAAACTTGGGGGAGATGCCGTATATGGGTTTGGAACGATCTGAAAGGTTAGTGCTTGACTGAGTATAAAGTTAATATCTGATTGCAGTATAATTTGGACTGGCTGAGTGAATGGGCATTTGCATGGCAGATACATGTGGAGAAATGTGAGATGATCCACTTTGCTAGCAAACATAGGAAGACAGATTATTATTTGAATGGCAAAAGTTGAGAGAGGAGAATGTTCAATGAGATCTGGGTGGTATCGTATACCAGTCAATGAAAGTAAGCGCGCAGGTGCAGCAGGGGGTAAAGAAGGTTGGCCTTCGTGGGGAGAGGATTTGAGTACAGGAACAAGGATGTCTTGCTGCAATTCTACCGGGCATTGGTGAGGCCACATCGGGAATATCGTGTGCAGTAGTTTCGGTATCCTTATCTGAGGAAGGATGTTCTTGCTATAGAAGAAGTGCAGCAAAAGTCTACTAAACTGATTCCTGGGTTGGCAGGACTAATGTATGAGGAGAGATTGAGTCGGTTAGAATTGTATTCAGTGGAATTTAGAAGACTGAAGAGGGGGTGGGATTTTAAAGAAATGCATACAATTCTAACTGGTTTGATGCAGGAAGGAAGTTCCTGGTGATGGGGGAGTCCAGAACCAGGTGTCAAAGTTTAAGGTACAGGGTAGGCCTAAGACTGGGATGGAGGTGAAGTGTCTTCACCTAGAGAGTGGTGAGTGTGTAAAATTAATTACCACAGAAATTAGTAGAAGACAAAACATTATGTGTTTTCAAGAAGGAGGTAGATATAATTCTTGTGGCTAAAAGAAATCAAGGAATATGGACAGGATTAGGGTATTGAGCTTGATGATCAGCTATGATCATGTTGAATGGTGAAACAGGCTCGATGGGCCAAATGAAGTATTCCTTCTTCTATGGTACAGTGAGTGCAGGAAGCACCATCCATGATGATGAGGTCACGAGAACATGCTGAGGGAGTGCAGTAGGACCTTGCAGGTGACCGACCCAAGGCTCAGCCCTTCCAACAGTTTTGGTCATAATGTAGACCCTATTCTTAGAACCTGCAAACAGTTACAGAGACAAAATGAGCTACATCTGTTTACTCTGCATGACTCTTCTCATTAGAGCTGAAGGTGGCTGCTTTCACACACACTAAAGAACCCGCTCACTTTGAATAGATGGATGACAGCACACTGCGCAATCTCCAAGTCTGTGGTTGTGCATTAATTTTATTCCTCAACAAATAAAGCAGTATCCCTTTTCAGGAGTTGAGCTGGTACTTGCCGAGAACATTTGGCCAACACGAGTTACGTTGTTCTTCAGGCTGGGTGTGTCACGGCTGGGTGCAGGTGCTAAACAGACTTGACTGTCATTGCCAGAGAAACATTTGTGTTTCTAATAAGCCGACAATTCTCTCAGCTCCCTGCTGATTGTTAAACAATTGAAAATGAGGTTTCAATAATTCACTCACAGTCCAGTTGAGTGCTTAGGAACTTTTTAAACTTTATATTCTGCTTTTGTTGTGTGTTAATAGCCAAATAGCTTAGAGACTGTCTCATTCACACAGTTTGATTTGGGCAAATTGGTGTAGTGTGTGTCCATTTCAAGCCAATGCAGTGTTTTGGAATGTTGGCCTGATACAGAATGGATTTTAACTTAACTCTGTGAGGCAGTTGTTGCAATTTGTGAGACCACAAGTTCGTACTGAGTTGTGAACAGTTCTCTGGGCCAATAAGTTACAGGTTTCAGTCTCTGGGTATGTGCATCTGCCATTATTGCAAATATAGATGCTTATGATGTCTCATGGGACAGGAATAGGGATCACTGTGTGGAACAATGTTGTTACAGTCTACTTCCCATTGTAACTGCCTGTAAACAATGCTGAGAGCACACAGTCTCTCAGTTAACTCTCCGAATGTACTGCCCTGGATGAATTCACCATGAGATGGACTGAGTGTCTGCAGCTTTGAGTCAGACCCCCTCATTGAGTAACTCAGTGGCAGAGGCAACAGCGGTTCCCTGTAGGAGAAAGCCTTTGAAAGTCATGATTTATCCTTTGTGGCTGGTGGGGAAAAGCCATTGTGGAGATGTATCACTTAGTCAGGGGAAGGCAGTACCACTGTGTATCACTGAATGCAGTGAAGAGAATGATTTCTCACCGAGGTACTGACAGTTCTCACAAAGCATGCTGGGGGACATTTTCCAACATTAAGATCCTGTTATAAACAAAAACTGTCAATGTCCATGCTGTTTCTGTGTCACACCTTACTGCACTGAAGACATTTACATGGTCTCTGTTAAACTCTATTTGAGGTGTACCAAGTTGTGAGAGGAATAAATAGGGAGAAACTTTTTCCCTAAATCAGGGTGGTGGGGGGTGTTGATAACCAGGGAGCACAGTTTTAAGGCAAGGGGCAGGAGATTTGGAGGGGAAAAGGTTTTCACCCAGTGGATAGTGGATATGAAGAACTCACTGCCTACAAGGATGGTAGAGGCATAAACTCTCACACCATTTCAGAATGAACACATGAAACACCATGACATATAACGCTACAGCCCAAGTGCTGGAAAATGAGATGAGAATAGATAGATGGTGTGAGCACAATGAGCTAAGGGACGTTTTTCCGTGCTGTAAAAACTGTATGACTGTAATTTTCCAGAACATCATCTCTGTCACAAATCAGAAAGTACAGATTTGAACAGACCAGTAGAAGATATTGTGTCAGTGACACAAAGTACAATGTCCCTCAAAATGAGGATGACTTTAGTAATATTAAACAGCTCAGCACAAACACAAAATGTTGTTGTCTTGACAACTGACCATTTTGATGATTATCACAGACGAGAAATGCAAACATTCAACAGACTGTGACTGATCAATATTTCACAGAATCAGTATGTGGAATGGCAGAGAACGGTTACCCAGCCAGCGTTGTTCTTTCTGTCCAGAACTCTGCTGCGCTGAGCTTCTGAGTTTTAAAAGGGAAAAGAAGCCGGAGAGGCTATTAATTAAATGAGAGACATGAAAGAACAATCACTTGCCTTGTCCTTTTATATCTCGGTTTGCGATAACAGCAGGGGCCAGTGCTGGGGTGGGTGAGGTCAGTACAAGGTGAATAACCCTACTTGCTGAGACTTTATGAATCTTGTTTCACCTGAGAACACTGGGCGCTTGGTGGGAAGTTAACTAGCCACAAATACAAAGCAATTGAGAGGGAAGTCAAGAGATTTACTGGTAAGGAAACTGTCCCTAAACTCTTATGGTGCAAGTGATGCTGCTGAGGGGTTTATGGAATGAGTCTTGGTTCCCATTTCCAGCAACTTGTTCAACAGCCACAGCATTCACGCATGAGCGCTCTTCAATCGTTTGCCTGCCCTTTTGTCCAGGGACTATTCCACGTGCAGAGCTCTCTCTTGTAAGAGAGGGCTCGGCCCCACGTCGTTAGCTGGAAAAGTTTGCCGGACGAGCCTGTGAAGTTGTATAATCTGGGAATCGTTTATTTTCTCCTGCTCGGATTTTGTACAGATTGTCTGGGTGCAACAGGATCCCCTCTGAAAGGAAGGTAGAGTTTCGCTCAGCTCAATTGTTGCACCGCTATCGGTTTTCGTAGCTGAGCTCCGAATGAAAAGCTTCTTTGAAGCGTAAGACGGGTTGTGAAAGAGGGGTGCTTTGTGAAACTTGCTCCATTGAGCAGCAAGTGCAACAAGGAAGCTGGTCTTTTCTTGTCACTCCTTCAGTGTTAACTTTGCTCGTTAATTTCTCTCGCAGGAACTGATCGAAGTTGACACCGAGGCTATTTTCGAATTGGCTGCATACATACTGCAGGTAAGAATGTTAAAGGTGTTAGTCTTTGTGTACTGAACGAACAATATTTACAATGTGTTCTGAGGTGAGATTCATTGAAAAAACGATGAATCATAATAGCTGTCATGCTGGAGTTATTGGGAATTGTCAAAATCAACAGTTTATGTAGGAAAAGTGTTGCTGTGTTTACACTGAACACCTAAACTAACTGTGGAAGGTTTACAGAATGGTCAACATTCACAATTCCTCCTCAGCATTGAACTTAGGTTGCACAGTTTTGATTTTTACCCACCTTTTCTTCCCTGTTTTGCTTTTGTTCATTTGACCTAGCGAACAAAACACAAGCTAAACTTTGCAGAACCAGTTCTTGCTTTTACTAAGATTCTGATTAAGGCGGCCAAGGGAAATCTCAGCAAATATTACCTGCTCCCAATCTCATCATCAATCCATGGAAATTAATTACAGTAGGCTTTTGGATCCAGCCAGAAAGTATTTGTTCTGGAATTGCTATTATCCAATGAGGACAACACATTCTCTTGGCCTGCTGAAAGGGGAGTATAATGGATAATCAGTCAGAAGAGATTAAGTTCTACATCACTGTAATTGGAACAATTTAATTGCAAACCAAGAAATGACATTATTTGGTTCATGAAATAAGTTGGAACAATAAGAAATTGAGCACTGAAACTTTAATTTACTGCCATTGGCAACTCTCATCAGAATTAACAGGCTCGGTCCATAAGCGTACCTTTTAATTTATGGCTTTACTTGTGTTAACAAGCAGATACATTAAGGTACCTACTGAGATTTAAAGACTGAAGGTTATGCTCTTGACAAAAACTCCCAAGCAACATACTTTTTAAATAACTTTTTAAACTGTATGGGCAGCCTTCCATTTTTCCTACCTGTTGCTGGGAGATGAACAATTCTTTCTGTGAACGGTTGCCGCAGCTACTGTGTACGTGAGAATTTCACGTTGCTTTCTGCTATTCGGTCAAACTTTACGTTGATTCATGTGACTTCAGACTCACAGCAATGTGACTGACTCTTAACTGTCCTCTAGAAGGGCCCCAGCTGCACTCAGTTCTAGGGCACTGAGAGATGGGCAACAAATGCCAGCCTTAGCCTGCAATGCCCTCACCCCATGAAAGAGTAAAGTAATATTCATGCTGTTTGTAATTCTCCAATCTTAATCACTGCACCATCAGCCTCCATGCCTTCATCTCCCTGGTCTGTAAGCTCGGGGATATCCTCATTGAACCTTGCGGCCTTGCTATACTTTGTTCTCTGTCCTCAAAAATCCTTCTTCGATCAACCCTTTGGTCACCTGCTTTATCTCCTTACACGGGCAGTTATCAACTTTTGCTTAAAAAGGCTGCTGTGCAGCACTTGGTCTGTTTTGTGCCTTAAAGGCACTACATAAATACAAGTTGTTTTTGAATTGATCTCAATGACTTGACTATAAAAGCCTGTAACCTTTATCTTTGAAGCCTGCCCAGGGCCTGCTTTGATCAGGTTTTTTTTGTGCCTAATTCAAAGCAGATTCACACGCACAATGGCCACAGCTGGCTCAGATGCTGAGGTTTGTACAAATCCCCTCCCAGAGTCAGTGACACACTCAGCAGTGCTCTCAGAGATGGCTCTGCTACCCAGCAGAAACCAGGCAGCGTTGGCAGGTAAACGCAGTGTAGACTGGGCATAGCTGCCACTTGAACTCACATTGCAAGGGGCACTTCCTTGTGTTTTGTGAGGAATAGCCAGTGAAACTGGCAAATGAGGCAGACTGGTCTGACTTGTCTGGTATCTTTCAAAAATGGAGCTCCAGCATGACCAGCACATTCACTTGCAAGGCTTAACTGGACTGTTACCGGTTTGTTATGGTTTCTTACTGGTTTTCCCACAGTGGGGACCAATAGGACGTCTCCAAATCCCACAAGGAAGGTATAGACTTTCCCCACTCCCCCCATGTCATTCTGTCTTTACCATCGCTCCCCTTCGCCTCCTGTAAAGTGCCCATGGGCAGGTCAGAGTGCATGAGGGTCACACCTAACCCCTTCACCTGGTGCCCTGTTAGTTTCTTCTTACAAGGGGTGCAGGACCCACTTATTGCCCATTCCTAATTGTCTTTGAACTGAGGGGCAGTTAAGAGTCAAGGAGTCACATGTAGGCCAGACTGGGTAAGGACAGCAAACAGTTTCATTAAAAAAACACAGAATGCTGGAGAACCTCAAAAGGTCTGGCAGCATCTGTGGAGAGAGAAGTAGAACTGGGCTGAAGTCTCGAAACGTTAACTCTGTTTCTGTCTGCACAGATGCTGCCAGACCTGCTGAGTTTCTCCAGCAGTTTCTGTTTGTAACAGATTTCCAGCACCCACAGCATTATGCTTTTGTTCAAGGTGATAGTTTTGCAGCTAGTTCTGTGTTTCACATATTGAATTTAAATTCCACCAGCTGCCACATGGAGTCATAGAGTCAAAGTGATGTACAGCATGGAAACAGACCCTTCGGTCCACTTTAGCCATGCTGTCCTATTTGCCAGCATTTAGCCCATACCCCTTTAAACACTTCCTGTTCATATACCATCCAGATGCCTTTTAAATGTTGTACTTGTACCAGCTTCCACCACTTCCTCTGGCAGCTCGTTACATACACGCACCACCTTCTGCGTGAAAATGTTGCTCCTTGTGTCCCGTTTAAATCCTTCCTCTCTCACCTTAAACGTATCCCCTCTAGTTTCCCCTACCCTGGGGAAAAAGACCTTGATTATTCACCCCATCCATGCCCCTCATGATTTTATAAACCTCTATGAGGTCACCCCCTCAGCCTCCGAAGCTCAGGAGAAAATAGCCCCAGCCTATTCAGCCTCTCCCTAAAGCTCAAACCCTCCAACTCTGGCAATATCCTTGTAAATCTTTTCAAAACTCTTTAAAGTTTCGCAACATCTTTCTTATAGCAGGGAGATTGAATGTTTTGAGCGAACCTCTGGATTACAAATCCAGTGACATTAGCACTATGTTACCATCTCCCTGTGTTAACAAGACCCAGCATTTACAGTTACTGGGTCCTCAGACTGACTCTGTACTGCTAAACCCCCATAGAGTCCTGCAAGGAGTTAAAATCAAGCCTGGAGATCGACTGCAATGTTTTATCATTTCTGCCAGATCAAATGAAACAGTCTCCTGGTGGAAGTCAGTGAGTCCTGATGGTTTTCATGTGCAGGTTTGTCCTAAATTTTTCCCAGGCTGTAGGAAAGCTGCTAGCCATTCATTCCAGCCATTCTGCTAGTCTCTCATTCCTTACGGTAAAACTTGAGGTGGAGTGTTTTTCTGTTCTGGTCATGACCCTGTGATACAATCGGAGGTTTTACAGTGAGCTGCCCACACAGTCTCCGAAATAGAAGCTCACGAGGGATTAAAAGAATGAACAAACTCTTTAAAACAGCACTGCCAAAAGAATCTGGAATGATTAATCCCTGGGATGGTGTTGGCTGGAGGTGAAGGCAGAACATGTAGTCGATTAAATTGAACGAGTGTTTCACAACAAACAAGGAGGTGGGAGGCTGATGAGGTGTGTGGAAGGGATTAACTGCTGCAGAATGTTTTCCAAAGCTCCTTTTCCCGTGACCCTGCAGAGGAGCAAGTGACAGAGAAAGCATGCTGTCACAAAACAACATTTCTCCCTTGGCCACACACCCCATCACTTCCTAAAACCTTTGGAAAACCTCCCCCACAAAGTAAGTGCAGACATTTCGGATTTTGCTTTTCCTAATTTGGTGAAAGCAGGCATTAATTTTCACTTGTGCACCAAGTTCTATCTCAAAACCATCACTCTCGATTTCTCAAGGGTCACTTTAGAGAGTTGACTTTGTTTCTGATGCTGCCAGACCAAATGCGTTTCTCCAGCAATTTCTGTTTTTGATTCCTCTGCTGTTGCTACGTGATCAGGGTTCCCACCCTTATCTGCCTTCCAGAGGGACCACCCTCACCGTGACTCCCTTGTCTGCTCCACACACCCCTCCAGCCCCACCTCAGCTGGCACTTTTCCCTGCAACCGCAGGAAGTGCTACACCTGACCCTACACCTCCCCCCTCACCCCCATCCCAGGCCCCAAGAAGACTTTCCACATCAAGCAGATGTTCACCTGTACAACTGCTAATGTGGTATACTGCATCCGCTGTTCCCGTTGTGGCCTCCTCTACATCGGGGAAACCAAGTGGAGGCTTGGGGACCGCTTTGCAGAACACCTACGCTCTGGTGCACGACTGGGAGGTGCAGGCGGATAGAAGATGGATAGAGAAGAAGATAGGTGGAGAGGAGACAGACCGGTCAAAGAGGCGGGGATGGAGCCAGTAAAGGTGAGTGTAGGTGGGGAGGTAGGGAGGGGATAGGTCAGTCCAGGGAGGACGGACAGGTCAAGGTCAACTGCACCTCCCAGTCGTGAACCATTTCAACTCCCCCTCCCATTCCGTAGACGACATGTCCATCCTGGGCCTCCTGCAGTGCCACAACTATCTACCCGAAGGTTGCAGGAACAGCAACTCATATTCCGCTTGGGAACCCTGCAGCCCAATGGTATCAATGTGGACTTCACAAGCTTCAAAATCTCCCCTCCCCCTACCGCATCGCAAAACCAGTCCAGCTCGTCCCCGCCTCCCTAACCTGTTCTTCCTCCCACCTATCACCTCCTCCCACCTCAAGCCCCACCCCCATCTCCTACCTACTAACCTCATCCCGCCACCTTGACCTGTCCGTCCTCCCTGGACTGACCTATCCCCTCCCTACCTCCCCACCTACACTCACCTTTACTGGCTCCATCCCCGCCTCTTTGACCGGTCTGTCTCCTCTCCACCTATCTTCTTCTCTATCCATCTTCTATCCGCCTCCCCCTCTCTCCCTATTTATTTCAGAATCCCCTTCCCCACCCCCATATCTGAAGAAGGGTCTAGGCCCGAAACGTCAGCCTTCCTGCTCCTCTGATGCTGCTTGGCCTGCTGTGTTCATCCAGCTCTACACCTTGTTATCTCAGATTCTCCAGCATCTGCAGTTCCTACTACCTCAGAGCCATTATTTGTAGTTTCTGTTCCAAGCTCCATTCCCTAGGCTGTCCTCTACATCCCTCTCTCTGGCAGTTCTCTGCAATTAAACTGGCCAGTCCACAAGCCCAGTGTCAGATGTGAGTCCTCATATTCTCACCATCGCTAAGAGTACCTGCCTGCACATCTGGGAGAGTGTCTGACTTTGTCCCTGATTCAGCTCCATCTGCTTCACATCTCTTGTCCATACCTTCATTACGTCAACTATCATTTATATTGATGATTTGGATGAGAATATAGAAGACATAGTAAGTTGCAGATGACACCAAAATTGGTGGCATTGTAGACAGTGAAGAAGTTTTTCTAAGATTACAAAGGGATCCTGATCAATGGGCTGAAAAATGGCAGATGGAGTTCAATCTGGATAGATCTGAGGTATACATTTTGGTACAACAAACAGGGGTAGGGCTTATACAATTAATTGTAGGCCTTGGGTAGTATTGTAGAACAGAGGGACCTAGGGGTGCAGGTACGTAATTCTTTGAAGTTTGCGTCACATATAGACAGGGTGGTTAAAAAGGCATTTGACATGCTTGCCTTCATTGCTCAATCCTCTGAGTATAGGAGTTAGGACATTGTTTTGAGGCTGTACATTGGTGAGGCCTCTTCTGGAGTACTGTGTCCAGTTCTGGTCACCCAGTTATAAGAAGGATATTATTAAGCTGGAGAAGGTTCAGAAGAGATTTACCAAGATGTTGCCAGGTATGAAAGGTTTGAGTTGTAAGGAAAGGTAGGATAGGCTGGGACTTCTTTCACTGGAGCATAGGAGGTTGAGAGGTGACCTGATAGAAGTTTATAAAATAATGAGGGGTATAGATAGAGTTGATGGTAGTTGCCTTTTCCCTAATTTGGGGAATTTCAAGACTAGGGGGCACATTTTTAAAGTGAGGAGAGAGAGATTTAAAAAAGACATGAGGGGCAAATTTTTACACAGAGTGTGGTTTGTGTGTGGAATGAACTTCCTGAGGAAGTGGTGGATGTGAGTACAATTACAACATTTAAAAGACATTTGGATGGATATATGAATAGGAAAGGTTTGGAGGGATATGGGCCAGGAGCAGGCAGGTGGGACTAGTTTAGTTTGGGATTATGTTCGGCATGGACTGATTGGACAGAAGGGCCTGTTTCTATGCAGTATGGCTCTATGATACTCATGGCTGCTCCCCAGCATTCTACCCTGATTCAGTTTGAAGTTATCTAAAACTTTGCTACTTGTGTCTTAGCTCCCATCAATTCCTATTCCTCTGTCACCCCCTGTGACCACTTACCTACATGAGGTCCCAATCAAGCAACATCTTGAGTTTAAATGTCCTGTTCCTCCAGGGCCTCAGCCCCGTCTATCTCTTTAATTTCCTCTGACACCTTCCCTGACCAATCAGCACCTCTCTAATTTCGGCCTTTCGAGCCTCCCTGATTTTAATCCCTCCACTATCGCTGTCCATTGCCTTCAGTTACCTTGAGCAGTGGAATCTCTTCCCTACACTTCTCATCCTCACTACCTCGCCTTGCTCCTTTAAAGCGCTCCTTAAAACCTACCTCATTGGCCAAGTTGCTGCTCACCTGTCCTTATGTCAATTCAGAACGTTCCCATGAATTTATGACTTTAAAGCTTCCTCAGAAGGCTCAGGAAATTTGGCATGTCCACAATGACTCTTACTAATTTTTATAGATACGCCAAAGAAAGTATGGCATCTGATGCATCACAGCTCGGTATGGCATCTGCTGTACCCAAGACCGTAAAAAATTACAGAGAGTGGTGAACGCAGCCCAGTCCAGCCTTCCATCCAGTGACTCTGTCTATACTTCCCTCTGCCTCAGGAAAGCAGCCAATATAATCAAAGACCCCTCCCAGCCCAGTTATACTCTCTTACACCCTCTTCCGTCAGGCAGAAGATACAAAAGTTTGAATACACATACCAACAGATTCAAGAACAGCTTCTTCCCCGCTGTTATCAGACTTATGTATGGACCTCTCGTATATTAGAGTTTTTCTGCAACTTCTCTGTAGCTGTAACACTATATTCTGCATTCTGTTCTATTACTCTGATGTACTTGTGTAAGGTATGATTTGTGTGGATAGCATGCAAAACAACACTTTTCACTGTATCTCAGTACATGTGACAATAATAAATCAAACCAAAGCTGCTATATAACTATAGGATTTATAGTTGTTGTTGTGCTCACTATCACATAAGGCATGAATGCTGTTGTAGGAATGGGTAGGGGGCAGGGTGTACCAGGTCAGATGTCCACCCAGAACCCCACTGAATCACTGACAGTGGTCAATTAAGAGCTTCTGTCATCCTCTGCAAAATAATGAGGGAATCCTCACCTGAGGGATCTTCAGCTGAGGGTGTCTGAGGGAATTCTGGTGGATTGGCTATACAGTGAGTCTTGAGTGGTCTCTGGGGGTCAGGGAGGGGGTGGATTTTGAATTGGGAGGTGGGTAGAGAGGAGCGTGGTTAGTGGGACAGGGGAAGGAGAAGGTGTACAATACAGGCAGAGCTTGTCCCTGCTGAGGGGTCCCAAATTGCAAATGTTCACCAACTTGGTGAACTCCCAGCCCACTCTGCCCTCTTCAAGGATGCAAGCCCTCATCGTGGCCGCTCTGTACTCTGAAAGGTCAGATTCCTTCATTGGGACAGGCTGGTCTCGGGAAGCACAGAGCCAGATCTGGATCCCCGCCAGGATGGGGGGCCTGGACCTTTCTGCTCCAGCCGAGAGACTGTAACCTGAGGCAGGAATTTCGGCCTCCCTTGGGAAATCATCACCAAACATAGACCTCGTGCTGCCCCACTCATCCAGAGTCACTGCAATAAAGCAGCACCCATCACAGTGTTCAGCCATTGTAAACACGAATGCTATTGACATGCATCCTTCAAGTAAACTGTGTGAATTTTGTTCCAATGCATGTATCAGTTAAGTAAGGAAGATGTCAGTGTTTAGTGTTTGTGATGGTCAAAGTCGTGACCCCACATTGACCAGAGCATTAACAGCGGAGCGTCACCAGATGGCCTGGGTTGTAGTCAGCTCTTACTTAAAAAGGAACACTCTGTGTAAATATCAGATCACCGCGTGCATGGAGTTTGGTCAACAGCATTGAGCAAACTCCATGAGAAACCCAAAACTGACGAAAGGGTTAGCAATGGGACTGTTGTGATATCGCGGGAAAGTTTGCGTGTTAATAAAATACAATTAACAGACAGTCTTTTCTCTTCATTCCTGCAGGAAGCAAAAGGGGATTACTCAAGGTAAGCCTGAACAAGGATTTAACTGTGACTGTTTGCTAATCTGAGTGCTACTCAGTCATCTGACTTCAACCGACACATAGAGTCATACAGCACGGAAACAGACCCTTTGGTCCAAGTCGTCCATGCCAACCAGACATCCCAATCTGACCTAGTCCCATTTGACAGCATTTGGTCCATATCCCTCTAAACCCTTCCTATTCATATACCCATCCAGATGCCTTTTAAATGTAACTGTACCAGACTCCACCACTTTCTCTGGCAGATCATTCCATACACAAACCACCCTCTGCGTGAAAACATTGCCCCTTAGGTCCTTTTTAAATCTTTCCCCTCTCATATGTTTCTGCAGCCCATTATGAGAGTATTTACACTGTTGTTTTCTATTAATGCTGAGTGTTGAAATTAAGCAACTTCTGGTAGATAGATTGAAGAGTTGGAACAAAACCAAAGTTGCTGGAAAAGCTCAGCCGGTCTGGCAGCATCTGTGAAGGAGAAAACAGAGTTAACGTTTCGGGTCCGGTGACCCTTCTTCAGAACTCATGAGGAAGGGTCACAGGACCCAAATCGTTAACTCTGTTTTTTCCTTCACAGATGCTGCCAGACCTGCTGAGCTTTTCCAGCAACTTTGTTTTTGTTCCTGATTTACAGCATCCGCAGTTCTTTCGGTTTTTATTTCGAAGAAGTTGGAACTGTTCTTCTGTGAGAGAAGAGTCAAACACAGAAAATGTTAGAGACCTGGTTATACTGGACCAGAAACGTTAACTCTGTTTGTGTCTCCACGAATGCTGAGTTTCTCCAGTGTTTTCCTTGTTTGTTTCAGATTTCCAGCATTTGCAGTATTTTGCTTTACAGAAGAACTGAAAGATGTTTTGAAAGTCATGAGTGGGCTAGACAGAGTAGATAAGGAGAAGCTGCTCCCCTTCCTAAAAGTAAAGAGAATGAGAGGACATAGATTTAAAGTAGTGTGCAAAAGAAGCAAGGACGATTTGAGAAAAACTTTATCACAGTGGACTTCACCTGACAAAGGAGCAGCTCTCCAAAAGCTTGTGATTTTAAATAAACCTGTTGGAATGTAGCTTGGTGTTGTGTGATTTCTGACTTTGTCACAGTGAGTGGTTAAGGTGTGGAATATACTGCCTGGAAATGTGGTGGGGGAAGTTCAGTTGAAGTATTCAAGAGGGTATTGGATGGTTATTTGGATATTAATGGTGAGCAGGAATATGGGGAAAAGGCAGGAGATTGGATAATCGAATCAGTGCAGGCACGATGGGCCGAATGGCCTCCTTCTGTGATAATGTTGTCTCCATTTGTTAGAGCTTAACTTGCAGGCACATCCTCTGTCCCTTCATTCTATTGTCATTAGCTGTTCGTGCCACACAGAAATGCGTACTTTCCTTCCTTGTGTTTTCTCAGACTAAGGAAACTATCACTTGACAAAGTATCACATGAAAGGCTGATTGTCAACACTGAAGCTCATGAAATAGGAGGAGTTCAGCTGAAAAATTAGCTTGAGGACAGAAAACAGTGAGTTGTGGCCATAAAAACTCGGAGCAGGAGAAGGCCATTCAGCCTGCCCTGCCATTCAGTACTATCATGTCTGAACTCATCTCGGCCTCAACTCCACTTCTCTGCCCACTCTCCTAACTCTCTAACACGTTACTGATTAGAAATCTGTCTATCTCCTCCTTAAATTTATTCAGTGTCCCAGCATCCACTGCACTATAGAGTAGTGAACTCCACAGATTCATGACCCTTTGAGAGAAATGATTCCTCCTCGTCCCTGTTTTAAATCTGCTGTCCCTTATCCTAAAACTATGACCTCTCTTTCTTTTTAGATTGCCCCACATGAGGAAGCATCCTTTCTATGTCTACTTTGTCAGCCCCTTTAACATCTGATATACCTTGATTAAGTCTCCTCTCATTCATCTAAACTCCAGACAGCATAGAAAAAAACTGTTCAATCTTTCCTCATAAGATACACCCCTGACCTCTGGAATCATTCTAGTGGTCAATAGTTCTTTTATGGACTAGATGGTGATGATGACCAAGGGTCAGTGATTGGATCAGTGCCGTTTTCTTGGCATACATTTGAATGACTTGAATATTAGATTTTGGATAAAAATTTCAAAACCTGTCAATGATATCAAATTTGAAGGTCATACTGAGGATGATGCCAATCGACTCTAACAGGATATAGTTAAGCTGGCAGCACTGGGGGATGGAATTTAATCAAAAGAAGTTTGAGGCGATGCACATCAGTGGAAGGGAAAGAGAGAAGCAACACAAACTTAATGGCCTAATTCAAGACCATGACGGGGGGTGCGAAGGACCTGGAGTTGCATTAGCATAGATCAGGGAGCTCAGGCTTCATAAGTAAAAGCATTGTGTTGAAAAGTTATGCTGAACTTTTATAAGTGTCTTGTTCAGCCTCAATCAGACTGCTGTGTCCAGTTTGGGTCGCCGTACTTTCGGAAGGATGTAGAAGGTCATTGTGAGGATGCATGGGAGACTTACCAGAATAACTCTGGGGAGATGAGGACATTTAGCTCCAAGGTTAGCCTGGAGAAACTAAGGTTTTTCTCCTCAGAGTAAAGAAGATTGACGGGAGATTTGTTAGAGGTGTGCAAGACTGTGATTGTTTTAGAATAAGTAAACAAGGAAAAACCATTCCCATTAAATGATTGTGCAGGGAGTAGGAACATAAATTTGAGGCTTGAACAAGAGATACAGGGGGAATGTGAGGAAGAATGTTGTTTTTTAGCACATGATAATGTCCTGGAACCATCAGCTTACAGGGGTGGTGAAAGTGGAGATAGTGAATGATTTCAAATAAAGTTTTATGTGGGCATTTGAGGAAGATAAATTTGACAGTGGTGATAGAGCTGGGGAGTGCACCTGACTATCTTGCTTGGCTCAGAGATATCATTGGCTCAATGAGCTGAAAGTCCTCCTCTGCTGTAAATGACTCAATGATGCAAAAAGCAAATGCAAACTTTCTTTGTGTCTTTTGGAAGTCTGTGAGAAAACTCTCATGATGTATTTTTAGCTGGGAACCCAGACATCAATCAGGTTATTGGTACAACTGAGCCCCAGCTTGACCAATGAGTCTGGTTACTTTAGCAATTTCACAATGCTCATTTACAGAAGGTTCAGTGGTTTCAGATATTGAAATGTTAAATGAGTCTGGATGATTGACACTCCTATTGCTGTGTCATAGAAAGTAGGTTCATTTAATAAAATGAAAGTTATAAATGAAGAACTTCTTAAATTGCTACCATAGGGCTCATTGCTTCTATACAGTGTATAGTAAATGGATATGGAAGTACCTTACCTTGACATGAGGAGGCATGAAGAGTATCTGTTGAAATTTACTTCTGGCCTATGCTCACCACAGCTGACAATGGCTTTTTATTCCGTTTTTGTTTAGTTAACTGAATCTAAATTCTCCAGTGGATTTGAATTCTGGTCAATTGCTTTAATTGTGAGAGCTAGTCTGGGGATATGGGTTCACTGTGCACTAGATCAAAGGATGGCAGATTCTTTACCAAGATGCCTTTGACCTCTGCTGTGTTTGTGATCAGTATTGATGTGTTTGTTCCAGAGGATTAACAAATTAAGTTTTAACTGAGTTAGCCGGTATACAGATTGCTGACAGTGTAAATGTTGCTTCAGTATCATTCTGGGTCCTGGTTCCTGTTTAGATTTCAGCAGTATAATGTGGATGACATTCTGAATCACCTATGTGCATTAGGCTGAGGAAGTGACCGTATTTCCTATAATTCCTTTGCATTGTTGTGATGTACAGCTGGCACTTGATGTGATTTTCACATCAAGAATTCTCCAAAGTGAGAAACATTCCCGAGGACAAAATCTTTGTTTAACTTGCCTGAACCTTGTGTTTATTGTGGCAGTTCTATTTAACAGGCTGACAGCCAGTTCCTGTTGCTGAAGTTATTTAAAATGAAGATAAACTAATACTCATTTGTCCTAAATATTCATTCAGCATTCACTCAGACTCATCTTAAACAGGTGTTTTACATTTTCCCCAGAGCCTGGACTAGTCATCACTAGGATCCTTGTCAAACTGAACCTGGACACCAGCGAGCTTATTGTCTGGACCTTTGTGGAAAGCAATCGCCCAGCTCACTGTGTCCTTACTCCTCACATCTGGGGATTCCTGCTTGAAAACATAGCTAGTATGATAAAGAGCTAAATACAAAAGACATGCATTCGTAAAGCACTTTTCAGAACAACAGGGTGCTCCAAAGTGCTTTACAACCAATGAGATGGTTTGGAGTGTAATCAGTCCTGTAAGGTGGGAAAGATAGCAGTCAGTTAGGACGCTGCAAACTCCCATAACCAGTAATAAGGCAATGATCATGGAGTAAGGTTTTTATGATGTGGAATGAGGAGTAAACATTATCCTCAGGACAAAGAGGATAGCTCCCCGGCTATTTTTCAAAATAGCAGCCTTTGGATCTTCTCTCATCACCTGAAAGGCAGTGCCTCTGGTAGTGCAGCACTCCCTCATGACGTTCAACCTTAGTTTTTGTGCTCAAGTCATGCAGTGAGAGCCCGCAAACCAAGAGACAGGATCATGACCCACTGAGCCACAGCTGTCTGTGTAAAACTGGCCATCAACAGTTACATAGCCAAATATCCCAGCAGTATCCAGATTCCTCCGGAAAACCTGTGGAAATCTCGGCCGCAGAAAGCGGTCAGGCCCAGAACATTGAATATTTGTCAAGTTGGAGTTAGATGTAGTTCTTAGGGCTAAAGGGTATGGGGGAGAAAGCAGGAACAGGGGACTGAGTTGGATAATCAGCCATGATCATATTGAATGGTGGAGCAGGCTCGAAGGGCTGAATGGCCTACTGCTGCTGGACCTGGTGATGATCAGGAGGATGACAAGTAATCACAGAAGCCCCATAACCGGCATGACTTAGTGACCTTAGATGAGAAAGAGGTCATTCGGAAAATGCAGTGCACTCTACAACATT